TTCTGTTAGTCATTCCAGATTCAATATCATTAATATAAATCACAAACAGCAGAGGACCCAGCACAGAGCCCTGAGGCACACCGCTTTTAACTGTGATCTAGTCAGACCTAACTCCATTTATTACTACTCTCTGCTTTCTACTCTCCAGCCAATTTTCTATCCAATTGAATAACATTCCCCACACCCACAGATTTAATTTTTATAACAAGTCTTTTGTGAGTCACTTTTTCAAATGCTTTTTGAAAATCAAGGTAAACCAAATCCACAGTATTCCCTTCATCAACTCTTGCAGTAATACCCCAAAGAATGTCAGAAGATTTGTTAAATAAGACTTTCTCTTAGTGAAACCATGCTGTCTCTTTGACACTGTGTGAGATATTTGGTAGATAGAACATAATTTTACATTATAGAGTAGATTAACCTAAGTCACTGTTAGTATAATATTTACATTTCACTTACATAATTTTCTTCACACCATAACAGTTGGAGGGCACTCAACTCACAATCTGTGGGTCGCGGGATCGAATCCCTGCCCAACCAAACGTGTTTGCCCTTTCGGCTATGGGAGCATTATAATGTGATGGTCAATCCCACTATTCACTGGTAAAAGAGTAGTCCAAAAGTTGGAGGTGGGTGGTGATGACTAGCTGCCTTCCCTCTAGTCTTTTACTGCTAAATTAGGGATGTCTAGTGCAGATAGCCATCGTGTAGCTTCGCACAAAATTCAAAACAAACCATAACAGTCATCGTTCATGAAATTTAATGATGTATATATATGTAGCGACAAAATGGCTTCTACTATTTGTGTTTATTGTATCCAAGCCAACCTGATGAACCCTAATATAGGGCAAAAGACCTTGTCACCACTAAATATGGCAGATGTTGTATGGTTGACTCATTATAACATATTCTTCTTTAATTTCATTCAAAAGTTCTCAGAATTCTATCTTTATACTAAATTATAGCGATATGATTTTTTATCAAGGCAAAATTCATTTAGTATATGGTGTGGCATTCACTTGACTGAGGTCTTCTTCCATCAGATTGTGATTTAAAAAACTATCTGAATGTTTTCTAGAGGGGTATCCATATTTTACTGGTTTCTGTGCTAGGTTAACTGAGTGTGTTTTCAGTTTGGTGGATAGGGAAGGCTCCTTTATCTTTTCTTTTTTTTTTCTGTGTGTGTGTAATTCATTTCATCATTACTAAATCTTGCATGTCTGCCATGATCCTGATTTTTAGCTTTTATTGGCATATTCATTTCTCCAGTGTATTGTAATTAACATTAATGGTGGAGGGGGTACTGTAAATGGTATTTTTCTTCTCTGTTGGTTCTTGAGCTGGTTTGGTATATTCTAACTTAGATCATATTGTGTTGTGGTTTCTGATTTGGTAATTGTGTGTGTGTGTGTAGACAGGCTACTAACCATGACTACAATTGACAGTCGCAATATTTGGGATGTTGCACGTATCCATTTTGCTTAAACTAGCTTGTTTATCAAATGAACCAGTTGAGTTAGGGCCCTAAAGCTGATTCCAGATTAGCTGCTAAAATATTTTAAAGTATGTTGCTCATTATTTAAAAGTAACTGATTCACTGTTTACCAAAAATTATATTTATTGACTCTGAATTTTTTTAGTTAGTTTTCTCTTTAAAAAAAAACTAAGTGTTTAATTTTTATTTTTGCTCAGGAAATTGGTAACATTCTTATGTAAATTGAGCTTCTCAAATTTATAAATTCTTTGTACATGTACTATTTCCTGAAGAATTACAACAAGTTATTCTGGATAGATTAACTCTTTTAAACCCATAGTTTTTTTGTACATACTGCCAGAATTATTTTCATGATGTTCTAATAACTATCACCATTTCTGGTCTATTTATAAAAGATGGATAATAATGTTCTTTGGATTAGGTTTTCAGCCAAAGAGACAAGTATTATCAGATGCTGTCCCCATCCGATGGGTAAATTGGGATTTTTTGCCAGACACTGGTAGTGTCTGTTCAGGTTTAAGGAATTAAAACAGGAATTGTAATAAGTGCTGGTTGCATGTTGCATATGGTTGTGATGCAAAACTCAGAGTACACATTATCAAATCTGATTATTTGAATAGGCATATATTTGTATGTTTCAGTTCATCAGACAAAAAAAACACTACCCTGTTTAATTAGAAACATAAATTCTATTTGTATTTTTCTATACATCTGTTTTAAGCAATTTGTGCACTATTGTATATGTGTGTGTGTGTCTGTGTGTGTAAGGAATGTATAAACATTATACAGAAGCATTTTGGTAATCATTCTTATATCTGAGAAAGTCTAATTCTTCAAGTTAAAATGCAAATTATTTAAACATCAAAATTGTTCTTTTTTCTACACGGTTGAGCACATTATATTAAAACAGTTTTTGAGCCTAACCATGTTGTTATAGTCCATATCCCTACAACTGGACATGCTCTATCTTATGATCTTGCATCTTGACCAAGGCTCTATCCTAAGGATGTAATGACCAAAGCACACTCCTTTCTTCATTCTTGCTTCCATAAACCATTTAGTATACAAGGATGATAGTGTCCCAGCACACATTTCAGTAGGCTGATCCCACAGAAATCCATAGGAGCTGCATACAGCAATTTATCACCATGTCTTTATACCAGATGTCATGGTTACTGTTTCATTCTCCAGCTGCTTGTGAAATACCATGATTGAACAGATATATATGGTGGAAGCAACTTTTGTACACTTAAGTTGTATTACTTTTCCAGACAGAAATTCTTCTTGATTATGTTTTGTACTGTGGCCTGAGATATGTGGATAGCTTTTACCAATGACCTTTGTATTTTGGATTCTCACTTGTTACCAGACTCCGCACTTATCTTGCGACAGCGGAGATACAACTTTTGTAGGTCTCTTTCTCTGTGGCCCAGTTTGATCCATATTTAATTTTTTTCCCAATGTCACTAAGCACAAGTGATACCCACATCTTGGAAGTTCTAGATCTATGATATAAACACATCTTTATAAGGTGAGAGTATGAACATTTTGTATCAGAAAAGGCCATTACATACCCTTCCCAAAAACCAATCATAGTTTGGTAGCATCACAGTATCTATGAAATGCCAAACAATATCAACATGTAGTTTTGAAACTGCAATTCACAGTGACTTTACATCAGGTGTAGTCATCTCTGAGTTGCTGGTTTGTATGTTCAAAATAGTTATAGCATAATGTATTCAACCCATTAGCTGAGCTGAGTCCTTGTTTCGGATTATGCACAAAAACATTGCTTTGTCTACAGAATTACTGTATCCTATTCTGTCCATGTTTGTAGTGCTGTAGATGTTCTGCTAACACCTTCTATGTACACACACACACGCATGTATTAATATAAAATTGACTAAAAAAATCTGTTTCATACCTATTTGGACTAATGAAGATCTGCTTAGATGATTTTTCTTATAAAGCAAGCTCCAAAATTTGTTGAGATAAAAATGTGTGTAGTCTCTTTAATTTTATAAATGTTTGATTGGGCATTATTTGATTGCATTTGTCAGATGGTCTTATTGAAAAGAAGTAGAATAGGTCTTGTCTCACAAGTACAAAAATCTGATCTTTCTCTAAAACATTCTGTTATTATAGTACTTATAATTTTCCTTTGTTAGCACTGTTAATTTGTTAGTTATCTAACTCTCTTTGATCAGAAATGATGGATAACCTACGCAGTTTGGATTCACGGAAGCAAGAGCTACTGGATGCAAGATTTTTTGGAGGAAGGGTAATGAATCTTTTTTTATGTAATTTGTTTTGAAAAATATTGAATCTAAAAAGAGAGAAAATCTATACATTTGTTTAACCATAGACATCATTTGTATCCTATATACTTATGCTTTTTGTTTTGCTGTAGTCAAGTATACAAGTAAAATTATTATATGCATTGTACATTCCTATGCTATCTGTTATAATCTGAATTTCCTTTCCTCAATTTTTTTTATTATCTGTTGTAAAATGGTTATTGTTACTAAGTATGTATGTGTGTGTGTATATACTATTTTGTTAATGTACAGTGCCAGTCAAGGTCATGTCTTTTACTAACTGGGTGATTAAATTAATCAATATAATCAATCACCTATGAGCATCAGTTACATCAATCCATATCACAAAAGTAATCATCTAATCAAAATTAGTGTTTCTGATTATTACCACTTTTGAATTATTCAAATCACTTGTGTCTCATTTGAGAATAATCAGGTAGTTGGATGTAATTGATTAATGAGCCTAATGACTGATTGATAAGTGAATTATACTAAACACCCAGCTCTAATTATTGGTAGCAAGACAAAAGTTTGACAAACAAAACACTAAAGATAAGGGTTTCATAAGATGACAGTAAAATAAGTCTTCATATAAAAGAGAGTTTGCTTATACATAAGCTGTGGCCAGAAATTAACCAAATAAGTTCTACTTTACAAGTCAGACATTTATGTAGATTGATCACAAATAGTCAGACAGGTAGATGATATAATTTATAGTGATTCACATTTAAAATATCCTGTGTCATGTGCTGCCTTGACAGCATGAGAAATGATTACCTCTTGTATTTTCTCATTACTGTAATTTACCTTTCCTTAGTATTTGCTATGTTATTATGTGTTTATCGTTAAAGACTTGCCAGAAAATGAGTCTTATCTACAATATAATTTCTCAAAAATATTCAAAATTTTGATTACTGTTAATACACTTTGCATTGATAATTTCCTGTCCTCCCCATTTTATAATGATGCTTGATCTTGAAAATGCTGTCTTAACTTATATAAAGTTTGTTTTAACTGTGTGCTAGAATGTTTTTGTTGTTAGTTCTGTTACACACGAATATTCATGTACGTACAGTACTGTACAGTTGTTCATAGTTTTGAAGATACTGAGGTTTTTTTTTGTAAACTTTAACATTGCTGTCTTTACCACAGGGATTTCCTTTCTCTCAGCTGTCCCTAGATCAGCAACAGAGACTAGTCCAAGTCTGTGGATTTTCAGTTATACAGAATTCAAACCACTCGCAAGGTTTCAGTGGCTCACACCCATCACAGGGAGGCAGCGGGAATTCTTCTCAGCAGCAGTATGACAGTTCCAACCTCAGTGCAGCCAGTGTTTCTAGTGATAAAGATATTGATGTAAGAATTAATTATAATGCTTCTTGCAGAAAAAGGTACTACACATTTTCTTTTAGTAAGAAAGTACTGCATGGTTGGAGGTTTATGAGTTTAGTTTAGGAGCGTACATGAAGGTCATAGTGGTAAACCTTAAAGAAAGTAATGTGACATTAATGATTCACTGGAAAATGATGGGGAAAATATTCACTCAGTTTTCAAACCTGTTTATTTCTTTTATTAAAGAAAAACATGAAAGTACAGTTTTTGCAGTCTACTGTTAAAGAAAACAATACAACAAAGAACACTAAAACTTTTTACAACTGAGGAACAGCGTACAGTTCTGTTTTCTTTCTATCGGAGAGAGCAATTGAGGTAGAAGCGTTCTTCAATTATGTGTTGTATATACATATACACACACAAGAAAAAACTTTTCAAAAAGGGAAGTAAATGTAAGATGGCTAATACCAATCCTTCAAAAACAATGTAAACAAGATAGTAGGGATGGCATTCACATCAACCCTACATAATAGCACAGGCTCACAGTGCTGTAGAATGTTAACAGAGAAAAATAGGATAAACTCAATTGTGATTGAATAGTTATGTGTATTGATATAGGTTAATTCTTGCCAATGTTTTTATGTAGGGATGATGCAAATGCCATCTCTACATTTACTTCCTTTTTTGAAAAGTTTTTCTTTACTTGTTTGCTTGTTATTTTTAATGCAGTGTTTCAATATACATAGGAGAGTTGTAGTTGTAACCAACTTCTAAATACAATGAGGTTTCAACTATCATATTTATTGTTTATTTATTACTGCTGGTAATTCTTGTTTCACCTTGTACTTAAGCTTTTTAAAGGAACACAAAGTCTCTGTAAGAAAACTAACTTCAAGGGTTAATGATAACATTGTTTACACTAGAAGTATTATTATTTTTTAATTACTTCTAGTTATTAGTGATACTTATAAAAGCAGATAATCCATTTGAAACTATGTTACCTCAGTGAATTTGTTTGACACTATTGTTTGAGTTATCTCGTAATAAAAAGAAGAAAGAAGAACGAGAAATTCAAACTTTTTGCTAAGATATTTATAGACGCTCCGAGAACTTGTGACTGAGTCATTTCATAGATATTGTTATAAAAGAAAACACTGTATAGTATTGTAAAGTTCTGATGACCTGTTGAGGAGATATTTAAACTACCATTTCAATGAAAAACCTTTACAACTGTCATATGCTGAACTATAATATGTTGCATTTTATAAGATAGTTTTGAGGCTTGTCTTATCTCTCAACTGTGGGCCCCTACAATCTTTAACTTGCAGAACAGAACCTATCATTTTCCAAAAATAAATTCCATCATTAATAAAGTAGAAAAGCTAGTTAGTTTAAATAAGTTTTTATCTTCATTAATCAAATATTTATATGAGCAGAAAACATTTAAGAGATGTAGTATATTCCTACTGATCAAGTATGAATTGGGAATTTTTTCCATCCATAGTAGGACTAATGCAATAAAATAAATTATATTATGAATCACATGCATCACCTTACTCAGAATTATCCACTCTTCCATTTTCCATGTAAGCATCAGGGGAAACTACACAAGCCCTGATTTCCTGCCATAAGGCATATTTTTCTGTTAGTAGTTATAACTTTGTTCATAAAAGGCTGAAGCCTTTAGTTAACACCTCTATTAATGAAGAACTTTCTTCACTTCCTTGAAATTATTTGGAGACTTTGCTCACACAATCATCGTCTGGTGTGTAGGGAGTTTTCATGTCTGTTTTTTTTAGATTTCAGTGGTCAGTACATTAGGGCTGTTAATTCCAGTCATCTTTTGGTGTCTTAGTAGGGTTTCTGTTCATGTGGATGCTCAGTCTGTGATATATCTGCTTTTGGCTCATATTGATAAACAGACCCATTCTTTTGTCCAGATCTCTTTGACTGAAGAGCAGGATTTTTCTGTTATACCTAATCCTAAGAAATCTTCTTCTGGTATTATTTCACTTTTTTTTATCAATAATGTATTATTTTAAATTTTGCACTGATTTATCTTTAGCATGCTTATGTTATGTTGAATTATTCTGATCTTGGGTCCTTGTTTCTTTCACCTTTCCATGATATTCAAGTTATTACTAATACCCTCAGTTGTTAAAAGAAATATTATTATTTTTCTTGTTCTTTTCATTAATCATATGGGTAGCCTTTTAGCAGAATTGTGTTCTACAACACATCTTTCTACATAAGTTCTAGACCCATAGATATTTTTTATGGGGGGGGGGGGAAGATATTCCTTGTGATCTTCCTTTTTTCTCATATTTCTTCCCTTGTGTGGTTTGATTAATTTTCTGCTAAGACATTATTCTTCTTCAGTGCAATTATTGGCCATTAGCTATTCTCATTCTCCTGATTTTTTTAAATATAGATAAATGTTTAATTTGCTGTTTTTTCTCACTGATTTAGTATCTGTTACATTGTGGCTTCTATGTTCCGTCAACATTAACCCTTCATACTGTATTTGTTATATCTCAGTAGACATCGAAGGGTTTCCTTTTCACATCGTTCTGTTTTTGCAGGAATTTCACCCAAATTAGTATTTATGTTATAGAGAGGTGCACCACAGGAGCTTACTGGGGTTTGAGCATCTCACTATTATTTTTTTATTCTGGTGTTGTCCCTCTATGAGAGATGTCCAGCAAGCAATAGTTTCCCTGCCTTACCTCCTTTTTCTATTTATCAGTCTTCTGTGTCCATTGCTGCTTATTCCTTTTGTCACAATTGAGATACCAAGTGTAGTAGCAAGTGGGATGGTACTACATGAACCAATCATTGACTCTCTTTTGTTCCAGACATTATCTCTATCTAGACTGTTGGAGGGTTCATCTAGGGTCATTTGTTGGTATTTGAGATCCTTGAGCTCAACAGATTCTTATCTTTATATTGTCGCTTCTCCTCTTTCTTCTCATCCTTTACATTTTCTGCTTTCTTTCAGTCCAATTTGCCTACAAGTTTGATCTGTTACAAATGGTATGTCAAAATTGCTTACCATATCTTTCCAGATTTTACTTTCATTTTTTTTGTAGTTCCAAAGAAATCGGGAGATTAGAAACCTGTCATAAATTTGTCTCATCTCAATCATTTTAAAATGCAAAATTTGTGAATTTTAATAAACATTCTTCAATGCAGATTTTGGATGATTCTGGTGGATATCCAAAATACTTATATTCATTTCATAATTCATCTGTCACGTTGTCATTTTCTACATTGTTTTGCCATCAACAGATAGTTTATCAGTTCTTTTCCCTTCCATTTTGCTGGCTTCAGCTTTATATGTTTTCACTCAACATTAACTTCCATTTTTATATGGAAAATTGCCTTCTTACTCTGTCATCCACTTATTATCACACAATCAGTTCTCTGTTGGATGGATTATTTGCAACACTAAATATCATTGAGCACTAATTTACTATTTGATCCATTTGGGATTTTGAATCAACACAGTTCAGGAGATTCTTCAGTCACTCTTAATAGTGCTTCAGGCCTTGGAATTTTGTGTTTGCAAATTCCACTATTCTACAACTACAGCCAAAGATGTCCTTTCTGATTTAAGGGTTGCACTCGCATGAACTACCTGCAATGGGAATCTTGCTTTACTGTGCCATTTGACAATAGATCCAGTATCTCAACATTTTTCTTCCCTTCAAGTCTGTCATAGTATACTATCCACCTTTTGTTTTCTGAGTGGTCACATGAATGACTAGGTAGTCCATTAATCAGTGTTTTTGAACAGCAGACAGCCATCTTCTTCCACTATACTGTCTCCAATCACAGATCCAGCTTCACTGGCAGTGGATAACTTGTGTCAAAATTGTGGGAACATCTTTTTTTTTCTTTTTTCTTATATGCCTAACCACTCCTCTGCTGTCTTCCACTGGCAATAGCCAGGGTCAGTTCTGTAAGGAGTCGGGTTTGCCTCATAGCTGACTTTGCCCGGACCAACCATAGTTTCCCTGTTTACATCATCTTTCTCCTAGGTAACTAACCCTATTACCATCATGACAGCTGGCTCTTGTTTGGTTATTTGTCGGAGAAGCCAGAGATTCTTTTCCCAAGTGACTTCAATGTTAGCCCATTTCTGCTGACATTCATCCCTTGTTCTGTATTAATCTTATTGGGCTATCACCATCTTCTCAACAAGTTGCTTCTTTTTACATATATTTATTTCATGATTGTGGCTCATCAGCTTCGTATATAATAGGTTATGTAGCTGCTGTATCTGCATCCTTTTGATGCAGTGGAAGTCGTCAATCTCTCTCTGTTCCCCCAGCATTCACAGATCTGTTCCAAACCTTTGTCTACATTGTGTCAGAGTTCCAAGACTGTTCAAGTGGAACATGAGCTTAGTCTTACATTTTTTCACTTCTCCTCCTTTTGAACCCATAGCAACTTGTTCAGTTTATTTTATTTTTCTCAAGACAATGTGCATTTTATCCAGACAGGGTATAATTTAGTTTTAGATTATAAAATATGCATCCAAGTTGTTTTCTCTTGTAATTTATATATATCTTTTATTATTACTTGGTCAGAGTCCAGGAAAACAGTTACACAAAACTCCACTAGAAAGAAAAAGGAAGAGAAAGGATGACCAAGGAAATGGTAGGACATTAAGGGCTTATTTTCCATTACATTTTTAGTTAACTCTTTATTAGGTATTTTCTTAATTTTGAGGTCTTTGTTTAGGAAAACAGTTTAATATTCTAAACTATTTTAAAAGTTAGTGATAATAAAACCTCAGGGTAGCTTTCAACTTTAATCAATTGATCACACATATATCTCTTATAAGGAAATATGAGTTTAATTTTCTTTGTACAAATTGTTATTGCATCTTCATTATAACAAATATTGTTTGTATTATTTTGTTATAGTTTAATATACTGTAGATATTATTTTAGTGGAAAAAGTCACTAGATTATTCAATCTTGTAACCCATAATCTGTAACATGTTCGGAATAAAGTTTTTACTACAAATTAATAATTCATACCTTTAGCTCTCTGGTTTAAAAAAGGAAAATGTAAATTATGTAAATCTTTTTTAAATATTAGCAGAATATTGCACTTTAGTCTGTGAAATCTATCAACCATTCATGTAAGAAATTTAGGATTTTTTTTAATACAAAATGCTTTATCACATGTCATACAGATTATTTTAACCAGGAACTTAAGCACTGCATTTATTAAATAGTGAAATATTTTAAAGTTTTTTGTTGGTAATCATCTGATCAACACCTGTCATAGTAAGAAATTATGTGAGAATAATTCATAATCTCTATTTACAGGTCTGACTGTACAAAGGATTTTGTGTCTTCTAGTAATACATGTAAAAAATGTCATAAATGCCCCCCAGTGACACAGCGGTATGTCTGCAGACTTACAATACTAGAATCCGGGTTTTGATACCCGTGGTGAGCAAAGCACAGATAGCCCATTGTGTAGCTTTGTGCTTAATTACAAACAAACAAACTGTCATAAACTAGGTTCGTAGAATTTTAGGGTGAAGACAGTCCTATAATAGAGACCTGGATTTCAGAGCTGACAGTCCCTGTTTAAGTCCATGAAATGCTATAAAATATCTTCCCTTTTTATGCTGTAGATATGTCATAAGAATGACAGTCAATCCCTTAGCATGGATGGTAGGTGGCAGTATATTACCAACAGGCTGCCTTGCTTCTGGTCATTTCAAAATTTGGAACAGTGGCAGTTAAGCTTAGTAACTTTGCATTGAGTACAATATACAAATACACAGAATTCTGAGTCTTCAGAGGGAGAAAAACCACATCATTTTAAGCTGTAAACTGTTTCTTAGGTTAGAAGTTTTAAACTTTAATTTGTAATATATTTTATGTGTCATGTTTCAAAAAATAATTTCTCTGTGATGAGAAACTTACAAGCTGAAGAGGCTACACAATAACTAAAAGATCGATCCAATATGCCATTCTGTAAATGGCAAGAGTAATGTCTCAAAAACATAATTTTAGACTAAACACAGTGATGAGTAGTTGCCATTATAAAAGTGTCAACATGTCCTGAACAAATATTCTCCAGTATAAAATAGCAAGAAAACAACTACTAACTACCTACTGAGTTTGCTTATACTTTTTGAACAGTCATTTTTGATATATACAGGGTAAGATGACTACCAAAGCCTATGGTAAATTTGTCGTAGAAGTCTTAGTCACTCATTCTAATTTTGTATTGTTGAACTTTACCAGCTGAAGAATTTTTGAGTTTTAGGTTTGCATTCAGCTTACCAAAGTAACAGATAGATAAAATATTCTTTATTAGTTCTTTGTCGTGAAATCTTGTCACTTGACATACCTTGGATGTTGGTTATATATAAGAAGTCGAAATGGCTCCAAAAATCAATTCTCAAAATTATATAGAGATTAGACTTATTATGCAGTTTCTCCTTTGTTTGAAAACCTCACTGAAGTTGTGCATAAATATCTTGATGGCAATTTAAAAAAAAAAAATTAGTACTTGTTTTTGGGGATTACACGTTTTTTGTTGTTTTTTTTTCAAGACATGTATTTACTGGGATGACTTGCCAGGTATTTGCCATGAAAACAAGTACAAGTTCTATTTTTTATTACTATTAATTATTAATGTATGTTTTTGAGAAACTTCAGATATCAGATGGAAATGAAATACTGTAAGAATGTAGTTATATAATTGTTAAAAATATATATACTGTACTTTGTACAGTCCTAATTCAGTTAAATGTGTCCTTATTTTTCTTTTGTTCTCATCATCAGGAAAAGGTGCTAGAATAGAGAATGCCAAGAAAATAAATGAATATTTTAAGGTAAAGACTTATTACTTTCAGTGCCATTTAATGTTTTGCATAAACTATAATTTATAAGAGTTAAATTATGTATATCAAAATACTTGTGTCTTTTCACTTGTGCATACACACACACACACGTTTGTGTGTGTTTGTATGTATGTATATATATATAGATAGATAGAACATGCAACCCTTGTTGGGACCTTTGAATGTAGAATAGTTTTTTTCAGTCACAGCCTTGTCCTTCATACATTTTCACACACATGTATCCCTTTGTGTATTTGTTCATGATTGAATATTGATGAAGATACTTGTAAATCATTTACAGCATGCAAAGAAAGTAGCTACAATATCACATTCTGTCTTTATATTCCTGTTCTGTTTAATCATTTTCTTCCTGTTGAGTTACAATCAAAAACAACTTCTGATGATAAGCAAGTAAAAATTCTGTAAAGACCTCATGACTTAGAAAGTACAAAATAATACATTTTTCTGTGTTGTGGTAATTTATAATGAATGTTTGTATTTATACTGTAAAATATGTTATTTTTTTTACAAACAATCTGGATGATATAGCCAAGTACAAGATCTTTCTGGTATTCTCAATAGAGATTTGTAAACCAGAATATGTTACTTACATTGTGAGTTTGAGGAAGATTAGATTTCATAATTTCATCAAACCTTAACTGGACAAAAAGGAACTTGTTAGCCCATGAAGGATGTCCCTTCCAGCTCCCAACTGTAACCACCCCTTACTACTCGTGTATTCTTCCAATCTTTTCTTGAACTCAGTTAATTTTTCTGCCTCCACCACCCTTGAAGGCA